TATTCACCCTAGGTTTCATAACGTGATGATTGAATTTTCCCATAATAATATAAGCAAGCCTCACGATGCCATCGAACTTCATATAGCCTTGGCTTTCCAAAGGTAGTTTACCCAAGGCTGGACTGTACTTTTGACCTTGTCTGATTCTCGTCATCAGCCTCAACGGGAATTAAACCTGGATAGTGCAGCACTTATTTTCGAAATGTTATCACGTCACACTTTTACGGGTGCCAATGGGTAATAGGGCAAACGTGAATTTCAAGACCAGCTAGGCCTCTACAATATCGCATTTCGTGATGAGATTGCCGATGTAGCAAACTTATTTTTGCTATTAGAATCAACTACATTACTTATATTCCGATTGAGTAGGCTTCAAACTGCCAATAGGTTTCGCTTCATTGACTATCTCGTAATAACTTATGATATTATAAAGGTCTGACTAGCTTTGGGTTTCACGCCTGCTCTGTTACCTACTGGCCTCCGTGACAGTGTAGTGTAGTGCTGACATGGCGAAAACAAACGCTGCACTACCCAGGTTCGATTCCTATTGAGGGTCATGATGATAATCAGGCATAGTCTAAATTGCAGTCTACTCGCTGCGAATGCCTTTCGAGGGACGAGACTAAGTAAAATTAAATTGCATCATTGTGTGGAAAAGTTAACTATTTTCATATTTATGCTGGTTCTGATACTATGTTCATGCATACATACATATATATATATATATATGTGTGTGTGTGTGTACGTACATGAGATGTTTTCACCTTATTCCATTTTATGTGATTAAGGATTAATGGTTATGATCACCCATGATGATATAAGTAGGCCTAACAGTGTCATTGAATTTCCCGTACCTTGCCCCCTAAAGGCATTATCAATCAGGGTGGATTACAATTTTGACCTCGCCTGAACTGGTCTCGTCAGCAACCCCAGCGGGACTCGAACCCGAGTAATGTAGCGTATAATCTCGATAAGTTAACCACCACGCCACACTGCCACGAGTGCTCTAGGGTCACTGGACAGAATTTAAGCTCAAGGAAGCTTAGGTCTTTCCATATCACATTTCGGTGGTGGCATTGTCGATGAAGCAAAGTTGTATCTGCTATAGTGTTCGATTACACTACTTATTTTTCATGTATAAGTAGGTCTTGAATAAGAATCCCTAACTCAATTTCGCCTAAGATTAGAGTTAAAGTCTTGCTGGCGGTGCTGATGAGACCAGTTCAGGCGAGATCAAAACTGCAGTCCACTCTGGATGAGAATACCCTTTAACAATCAAAGCTATGGGAAATTCAATAGAAACATGAGGCCTCTTCATACCATTGTGGGGAAATTCAATTGCCACTTCTTTATCAACGAAATAGGACGAATACAGTGAATAAATAAGATCTATTGGTAGTATCAACAACCTACTTATAAATTAAAAATTACGAATTTTCTCTTTCATCTTCGTCTCTTCATCAGTCTCCATCGGTCTGCCTACAGATTGTCGGTACTGATGCCCTACTCCAACTGGCCCGCGCCCCCGATCTGGCTCTGCCTCAAAGTTGCCTACGATCGGGAGGTCAAGACTCAGACTGTGGCCAGCTGGTTGGTCGACTCACAGCCATGCGCGAAAACCGACCCTCAGACGAGCCAAATGAGAATGGCCTAAACGCCACCGTTGTCAAACAGGATCATAGTACCCACGCGGACAACCCGAGCACTAACAATGCAACTTGCAATCCTGGCAGCCTTTCTGGCTCCGAGGATTCTGCCTGTCGTCAACTGATTGGCTCTCGTGGAGGCATCGCTGGCCTAATTGGTCTTTTGCGCTCATCACATGAACCAGTCGTCAGACTGGCTTGCGCAGCCTTGTCGGCTTTGTGTTTGGCGCCGGGTGGGCAAGCTGTAGTCAGCAATCAGGACAGATTGGGAGTGCGCCAGTTCATGGCGGATCGACAAATGGCTAGAACTGGCAAGCAAAGACCAGACGATCGAGCAACCGGTCT